ACAGTGTCTCTTTCCTAAGGAAACTTATAATATTGGGGCATGGGTGTAGAATACCCATTGTCCAGGTGATTACAAAAGTATTTACAATTGAGATGAAAGGTATAAACAATGTATACAACTATCAGGATATATAACAGAGAGACCAAACCTACTCCAAGAGCTCAAGGAATGTCTCCCTGATAGACCACATTCAAGGTGAATTAACTAGAAAAATACAGGGAAAGATATATGCAACAGCCCAAATCATGGTGCATTAAAGAAATAAACAAAGGTTGACAAAGCTTGAGAAAAAAGGGTCAAGGGATAAATTGAACAAGGGAAGACTGGAAAAGTGATGGATCCAAAAACACACATGATATTGGATGACATATTGAGGATTCTGTAAAGTGTCATAGAAATTAATTCCTTCATACATTTTAGAAATATTAATGGAGCATTTGTATGTTATCACTCTTCCAAATGTTGGAGATATAAGACCTCTCTTCTTACGGAGACTGAAAATAAACAAAAATAAATAAATAAAATATATAATGTGTCTAGTGGTGATAAGTGCTATGGAGAAAAATAAAGCAAAGACTGCCAGTGGGGAATTTGTTTTGAAGGGGTTGCAATTTTAAATAGATTGGTCAGAGAAGGCCATGATGAAAAGGTGAAAAGGTGAGATTTAAGCAAAGACTGGAGGGAGACACGGGAGTGAGCCATGAGGAATATATTATTCATTGCTGTGTAAAAAGTTATCACAAATTTAGGAATTTTAAACAATTCACATTATCTCACAGTTTCTGTGGGCCAGAAGTCTGGGTATGGCCTAACTAGGTTCTTTGCTCAGAGTCTCACAAAGCTGTAATCCAGGTGTTCCCTGGGGCTTGCAGCCACCTTTGAGGATTAAGTTTTCTTTCAATCACATGGAATTGTTGGTAGAATGAATTACATTGTAGCTGTAGTATGATAGCTTACTTTTTCAAGCCAAGCAAGAATGAGAGAGTGTCTGCTTCTTTGAGTCTCTGACCTTTAGCCTCTTTTAAAAAAAGATATTAAATCACTCGCCCACAGTAATCCTTCTTTTTATGAGCCTGAAGTCATCTGATTAGAGAATGTAATCTGTACAATTCCTTCACTTTTTAAATATAGCATAATGTAACCAAAAAGTGACATCCCACAATCTCTACCATACTCTTTTGGTTAGAGGCAAGTCATAGGTTCCACCTGCACACAAAAGATGGGGATTACACAAGAGTGTGACTTATTTGGGTTTACTTAAAGGTGTGTCTGCCACAAGGATATTTGAGGGAAGTGAGTCCCAGGCAAAATGCGTATGTCACTTTGAGGAAATCAAAGAGTGTAGTGTGGCTTTAATAGAGTGAGCTAAGGAACATAACAGGAAGATTAAATCAGATGTTTGAGCAGATCCCATAGAGTCTTATAGGCCCTTTAATAATCTTTAGCTCTGAGTGTGATGAGAACCCATTAGAGGGCATTCAACAAAGGAGTGACCTTATTTGACTTTCTTTATAAATTTCATTCTGGTTGTTGTGTTGAGAATAGACTGAAGAAAATAGAAATCCACAAAAAGACTTAAAGTAAAGGAGTGACATGATTGGAAGAGATGGGCAAATTAATGACTCCTTTTCTTCAAAAAAGAGGTGATCTACTAATATCAGGTACTTTGTTTTTATATCATTAGAGCCTTCCAAAATTCTTGGATACACAAGGCACAGTCTGCTTTAAAGTAAAGTATGGCTAAGCATGCATCTCCTGGGAAATATTTGGTTATCTAAAAGTTTTATGTGATCAGAGAATGAATTACATAAGATTAGATCTCATTAATATTTTGGTAATTTAATATTGATGTGGTTGTACTTATGAAATCATAGAATTTTAGATGTGGAAATAATTTGAAAGTCAGCCAGGAAGAGAGTAACAACAGCAAATTGGTAAACTAGAAATCGCTAGGCCCTCATTTCCCCAGGGAAATATTAGACAACAGGAGGTTAGATAAAATAACTTTATAGAAGCTCTGAAAATCAGTTAAAGATCTAGAACAACAAAATGAATCCTTGATTTTAAAAAATCCACATTCGAAATGGCAGAAAATATTGTGGCTTTTTAACTCGTCCTTGGCCTACCATATCTTCAGCATGATGAGATGTGGATTAAAAGAAGCGATCGATGGTCCTATCCCAAGTTGTCTACAAACAAGAGAGCAGAGGAACTGAATTTGCAAGTTTCTAAACTGTCTATGGGCAGTCAGAGGGTTTGGTATCTCTATCGCTTAACTCAAAATTTATATGACCAAAATTAAGTCGAATCTCAGGCTAAGGAAGCCTTGGAAAGCAGCAGGCATGGCTTGTAAAAATTTCATGGGAACTATAGCGTTGCATATGACTGAAGCAAGAGATTATTGAGGAAGAAATAGAACCAAACAGCTAATAGTCTGAGGAAAAGCAAGAGTGAGATTCTTGTGAAAAGTAATACATTGAAAACCAACGATACAAATGGGTGAATTGGAAAACACACACAGAGGTTCCCAGCGAAAACGGCCTACAAGCACCTTAAGCCTTAAGATTGGATTGATTAGTGAAGGCTTTCACCTGCTCTGGGTCAATCTGCAAAGACTGGAATAGCAGACTGTTTTTTCAAATGCACAGTTTTCAATAGAAGGTGACAAAGCATACAAAGAAACAGAAAAATATGTCCATTTAAATTAACAAAATAATTTCAAAAACCCAAGCCTGAAGACAAAAGTTTTACACGTAGACAAATGCTTTAAGTCAACTGTGTTAAATCTGCTCAGAATGCTAAGAAAAACATGGACAAACAAAAGAAATAAGAAATGCAACATACGAACAAAATGAGAATATCAAGAGATAGAAAGTATATAAAAGAACAAAAAAAAATGGTAATCGAAAAATGCAAACACCAAAATAAAAAGTTTACTAGAGGATTCAATAGTATACTCAAACAGACAGGAAGAAAAGCAAACATGAAGACAGGTCACTTGAAATTATTGAGTTTGAGAAGCAAGAATAATAAATAAATAAATAAATGCAAACAGAGCCAAACGGGCATAGGAAACATCAAGAAGATCATTATAATTATTATGAAAGTTCCAGAAAGAAAATACATAAATAAAAAGTGAAATTATTTTAAAAAATAATGGGCAAAAACTATAATTAGAAGAAAAACATGAACATGCAAATCTAAGAAGCTCAAGTAGAATAAATAATAGCAAAAGTATTCACAGTAGTCAAAAGGTAAAAGGAATCGGCGCTGGAGGACAGATTAATGGATTTTAAAAAAGTAATAAACTGGTACCATTCTACTAAAAGTATTCAAGAAAAATTGAGGAGAAAGGATTCATCCTTAGTTATTCTGTGAAGCCAACATCATCCTGATAGCAAAACGTGGCAGAGACACAACAAGAAAAGAAAACTTCAGACCAATATCCTGATGAACATCCATGCAAAAGTCCTCAACAAGATACTGGCAAAGAAAATCCAGCAGCACATCAAAAAGCTTATTCACCACAATCAAGTAGGCTTTATCCCCAAGATGCAAATTTGGTTCAACATATGCAAACTAATAAACGTGATTTATCACATAAATACAACCAAAGACAAAAACCAAATGATTATCTCAATAGGTGCAAAAAAGCCTTTTGATAAAATTTAACAATGCTTCATGTTAAAAATGCTCAATAAATGAGGTATTAAAGGATCATATCTCAAAATAATAACAACAATCTATGACAAACCCACAGCCAACATCATGATAAATGGGCAAAAGCTGAAAATATTCATTTTTAAAACTGGCACAAGACTAGTGCCACTTCTATTCAACATAATATTGGAAATCCTCTCTCACCACTTCTGTTCAACATAGTATTGGAAGTCCTGGCCAGAGAAATCAGGCAAGAGAAAAAAGTAAAAGTCATCGAAATAAAAATGGCAAACATCTCTCTTTGGGAATGACAGGATTCTATATCTAGAAAGCCCCACGGTCTCCTCTCAAATGCCCCTTAAGCTGATAAAAAACTTGAGCAAAGTCCTAGGATACAAAATCAATGTACAAAAAGCATTAGCATTCCTATAAATGAACAACAGCCAAATCGAAACACAAATCAGGAACACAATCCCATTTACAATCATGACAAAATGAATAAAATACTTAAAAATATGGCTAACCAGAGAGGTGAACAATTTCTTCAATGATAACTATAAAACACTGCTCAAAGAACTGAGAGATGACACAAACAAATGAAAAAACATTCATGCTAATAGATAGGAAGAATTAACATTGTCAAATTGGCCATACTACCCAAAGCAATTTATACACTCAATGTTATTTCTAGCAAAATATCTATGACATTCTTCACACAACTAAAAAAAAAAAAAAAAAAAAAAAAAAAAAAATTTTAAAAAAAAAAAAAAAAAAAAAAAAAAAAAAAAAACTATTTTAAAATTTGTATTTTTAAAGTTTAAAGGATTTGTATGTTTAAAGGAAACAAAAAGGAGCCTGAATAGCCAAGGCAATCTTAAGCAGAAAGAACAAAGCTACAGGCATCATGCTCTCTGGCTTCAAACTATGCTACAGGGCTATAGTAACCATGACAGCATGGCACTAGAACAAAAACAGACACATAGACGATGGAACAGACAAGAGAATACAGAAATAAAGCTACACACTTACAATCATCTGATCTTTGACAAAGTTGACAAAAACAGACAGTGGGGAAAGGACTCCCCATCCAGTAAATGGTGCTGGGATAACTGGCTAGCCATATGCAAAAGAATGAAACTGGACTCCTTTCTTATACCATACCCAAATATCAACACATGATGGATCAAACACTTCAATGTAAAACCCAAAACTATAAGAACCCTAAAAGACAACCTAGGCAATACCAATTGGGACACAGAAACAGGAAAAAAAATTTTTTAATTGCATTTTAGGTTTTGGGGTACATGTGAAGAACATGCAAGATTGTTGTATAGGGTCTACCAGCTAGATTTGATGGCGTGATGTCTTACAGGAAGTTCTCCGCTCCCAGACATGGGTCCCTCGGCTTCCTGCCTCGGAAGTGCAGCAGCAGGCATCATGGGAAGGTGAAGAGCTTCCCCAAGGATGACCCTTCCAAGCCGGTTCACCTCACAGCCTTCCTGGTATACAAGGCTGGCATGACCCATATCATGCGGGAGGTCGATAGGCCAGGATCCAAGGTGAACAAGAAGGAGGTGGTGGAGGCTGTGACCATTGTGGAGACGCCACCCATGGTGGTTGTGGGCATTGTGGGTTACGTGGAAACCCCTCGAGGCCTCCAGACCTTCAAGACTGTCTTCGCTGAGCACATCAGCGATGAGTGCAAAAGGCATTTCTATAAGAACTGGCATAAATCTAAGAAGAAGGCCTTCACCAAGTACTGCAAGAAATGGCAGGATGAGGATGGCAAGAAGCAGCCGGAGAAGGACTTCAGCAGCATGAAGAAATACTGCCAAGTCATCCATGTCATATGACAGAAATCTCAACATCATTGATTATTACAGAAATGCAAATCAAAACCACAATGAGATACCATTTCACACTAGTAAGAATGACTATTATTAAAAAGTCAAAAATAACATGCTGATGAGGTTGTCAAGAAAAAGGAATGCTTATACACTGTTGCTGGGAAAGTACATTGGTTCAATCATTGTGAAGGACAGTGTGGTCATTCATTGAATGTCTAAAGACAGAAATATCATTTGACTCAGTGCTATCATTACTAGGTGTGTACCCAGAGAATATAAATCATGCTATTAGGAAGACACATGCATGCAGTATTATTCATTGCGGTATTATTCACATTAGCAGAGACATGGAATCAATCTAAATGTCCATCAGTGGAAGACTGGATAAAGTAAATATGGTACATATACACCATGGAATACTATGCAGCCATAAAAAGAATGAAATTATGCCCATTGCAGGAACATGGATGGAGCTGGAAGCCATTATTCCTAGCAAACTAATGAAGGGACAGAAAACAAAATTCTGCACATTCTTTTTTATAAGTGGGAGCTAAATAATGAGAACACAAGGACACATGGAAGGAAACAACAGGCACAGGAGTCTACTGAAAGTTGGAGGGTGGAGGGATGGAGAAGATCAGAAAAGATAACTAATGAGTATGAGGCTTAATATCTGAGTGATGAGATATCTGTACGACAAACATCCAGGACACATGTTTACCTATGTAACATGACTGCATGTAGCACCAAATTTAAAATAAAAGTTAAACATACAAACACACAAAAACAAAAGACAATACAATGGAATATTATTCAGTCTTATAAAAGAAGAAAATCCTGATACATGCTACAATGTGGAAGAACTTTGAAGAAATTATGCTAAGTGAAATAAGCCAGTCACAAAAAGATAAATACTGTATAATCCCACTTATATGAAGTACATAGAATAGTTAAATTCATAGAGCCAAAGTAAAATAGCAGATTCCAGAGATTGGAGTAAAATGTGGGTGTATGGGGAGTTATTGTTTAACGGGTACTGAATTTCAGTTGCAGAAGATGAAATAAGCTCCCGTGGTAGATGATGATAATGGTAGCACAACAATGTTAATATAATCAATGCTACCAAACTGCACATTTAATAATTGTAAAAATCATAAAATTGATGTTACACATATTTTACCACAATAAAAAAGTAAACAAATAAATAAATATATAAAGTCATATATATATATACCAGACTGATAACCCCAAGGAGAATTTTAAAAGTCATTTCTGACAGGTAATTTTCAGCCTTGCTTGAATACTTTCCACTTCCAACAAGTGCATTCAAGATTATATCATTTGGCTCATGTCCCCACCCAAATCTCAGCTCAAATTGTAATCCCCCCATGTCAAGGGAGGGACCTGTAATCCTCACATGTAACGGAGTGAGGCGATTGGATCGTGGGAGCCGTTTCACCCATGCTGTTCTTATGATAGTGAGTGAGTTCTCACAAAATTTGATGGTGTTATAGTGTTTGATAGTTCCTCCTTCACGTGCTCTCTCTCTCTCCTGTTGCCTTGTGAACAAGGTGTTTTCCCTTTGCCTTCCAGCATGATTGTAAGTTTCCTAGGCCTCCCCAGCCATATGGAACTGTGAGTCAATAAAACACATTTTCTTTGTAAATTACCCAGCCTTGGTAAGTATTTTTATAGCAGCATTAAAACAGACTCACACACAAGATCTACTCAGTAAAGTTTTACTGAAATTATTTTGCTCTTTCAGCTTCTTATGCTCTTAATACTGCTTTATACAACAATTTTATTTATACTCGTCATGATGTCTGTCTTTTATCAATTACACAGATTATTTCAGTGCCACTGTGATTTCTATAGAGTAATAATTATCAACTGAATGTGAGTTTGTTTGCATGTCTATGGTGATGGATTGTTAAGGTAGTCCTTTAAATCTGCATCAAAAACTTTAAGGCTCTTCAAGACAGCTGATTAGAGATGTTGGATGCCACTTTCCTCAGAAAGAAGAACCAAAGTTATAGATGAAGAATCATAACTCAAATATAGGTAGAGAGTGCCAGAGCCTATCAAAGAACTCACAGGAAGAAGCTAGGACACCAAAAAGAGAAGGGAGCAAAATTTGGCAGAGATCAAGCCTGGAGGACTTGGGGTTCCAGGAAAGGGTAGATAGGGCTGTTTTTGCTTCCCCTCATTCCTGCAGCAGACTACCGATTTCTGAAGTGTTGGAGAGAGCTCCTTTCCCATCATGAACCCAAGTATTGGTGTGGGCGGCAATTTGGGAATTTTGTGAGATCACTGCACTGTGCTGCCAGCTCATGCAGGGTTGCTCATTCTCCTTTGAGACCTGAGATTCAGTAGTAAGTGCAATACTCAGTGTGCACTTGTTGTGGGAGTCTGCCCTGCACAGATAATCTCAACTCTTATGTCTACACATCACTAAATCACTCAGATTGCTGCAGCCACATAGGGCTGTCTAGACCAAAGAAGCTGCAGGATTCCCAGTCATTTGGCGCTCAGGGTATGCTGCTCCTTGGGAAAAGGAGAGTGCAGTGCAATAAGGGAGTGTGCCTGGGAACAAGGATAATGAGAATGCATGCTCTCCTGGGCTAAATAGCTCCCTGCTTGTGGGCTGTAGTTGACTGTGCACCATCCAGCAGAGACACAGGTGCCATCCTTCCATGGGGAAGCAGTGTGGTTCTTCCTCAGCATCCAAGCAGCATCAGTCCTTGGGCACAGTAGTTGATAGGGAGAATCTCCTTCAAACTACTGACTGCTATGAACACAGCCATGGCTGCTCCCATGGAAGCATGGCATGGGTGTGCCTATGGATGTCCATACCAGATCTACTTTGGGTGTTCATGCCCCCACTAGTGGTATACTCTTGTACAAAAGGTAAAACCCCTTCTCTTCTTTACATAGAGTGGCAGCGTTCCTGCAGCAGAAAATAAAATAAAATAAAATAACCTATCCGTGAAGTTGCATGCTCTGGGCTAAAAAAAGTGATTCTACCTCAAAGTCATTTTGGTGGAGATCTCATGCAGGATTGCTCATTCTCCTTTGTGCATTAGTAAGTGCCACACTCAGTGTGCACTTGTTGTGGGAGTCTGCCGGGCACAGAGAATCTCAACTCTTATGTCTCCACATCACTAAATCACTCACATTGCTTCAGCCACATATGTTCTCAAAGATGAAGCAAATACCCATCTGCTTCTGCCAGAAGGCTCTTACCTTCAAGTGTCACCTACTAGCCTGGAGGTCAAACAGCACAATCCAATATAAAATCTGCTGATTTAAGTATGTAGCATGTAGGACCTCTGACTTCATATCTCTGCAGGAGGCTTGGACACACTCAAATGCTGAGTACACCACTACTGCAATCAATATTAAAAAAAAAGAAGAAGAAGAAGAAGAAGAAACACAACATTAAGGCTATCTACAACCAAGGAATTTAGACAGAGCTTTGTTCCCCTGAAAACACCCAGAATCAAAAGCAAACAACCCTACTCAATATACATTACAGTCACACCCACAAAGTAGAAAAAATGTCATACCCAAACAAAAGTAAATTCAAAAACAAGAAGTGGCCGAGCACGGTGACTTACACCTGTAATCCCAGCATTTGGGAGGCTGAGGTGGGCCTATCATTTGAGATCAGAAGTTTGAGACCAGCCTGGCCAACATCATGAAACCTCATCTCTACTACAAACACGAAAATTAGCAGAGCATGGTGGTGCACGCCTGTAGTCCCAGCTACTTGGGAGATGGAGGCAGAAGAATTACTTGAACATGGGATGTGGAGGCTGCAGTGAGCTGAGATCACACCACTGCATTCCAGGCTGGGTGACAGAGCCAGATCTGTCTCAAAAATAAATAAATAAGAAATAAGAAGTGACAGTCTCTCCAAATGAGAAGGAACCAGCATAATAATTCTGACAGTATGAAAAAAAAAACAGGATGTAATGACATCCCAAAGGATTAAACTAGGTCTCTAGCAATGAGTCATAATCAAAATGAAAATTCTGAAGTGTCAGATATAGAATTGAAAGTATGAATTGTAAGGAAGCTCAATGAGGTCCAAAGGCAAGTTGAAAACTGACATAAAAACTGAAAATCAATTCAGGATATGAATGAATGAAAAATTCACAAAAAACACCACAATTTAATAAAATCCCAGACACAACTTCTGGAAAATAATTTATTGAAGGAATTATAAAATACAGGTAATAGATTTAACAACAGACTAGAGCAAGCTGAAGAAAGAACTTGAAGACAGGTGTTCCAAATTAATTCATCCAGACAAAAATAAAGAGAAGTTCTTGTAAAATGAACCAAGCTTTCAAGAAATATGAGATTATGTAAGGTGCTGAAATCTATGATTCCAAGGTATTCCTGAGGGAGAAGAAAAGAAAAGTCAAAAGTTTAAGAAATCTATTTGAGGGAATAATTGAGGAAAACTTCCCTTGTCATGCTAGAGATTTAGATATACACATAAGAGAAGCTCAAAGAAATCTTGGTAGATACAGTGCAAGACTAACTTTACTGAGTCATACAGTCATCAAACTAACCAAAGACAGATGAGGAAAAATTCTAGAAGTAGTGAGAGAGAAGCATCTAATAAACTAATAGAAATACTATCAGAGTAGCAGCAGACTTCTCAGCAGAAACCTTATAAGCACAAAGATATTGGGGTTCTATTTTCAGTCTTCTTAAAAAAAATAACAGCCAGCCAAATTTAGTTTGTATCCTGCTCAACTAAGCTTCATAAATAAAGAAGAAATAACATCTTTCTCAGACAAGCAAATGTTAAAGAAAATCATACCAGTACAAGACATGCTTAAAGGAGTTCTAAACATGGAAACTAAAGGGCAATACTTGCCATCATAAAACACATGAAAGTATAAAACTCACAGTTCTTGAATGCAATAACACAATTGAGACTGCAAAGAAAATAGTTAATTAACGTTATGACAGGAACAAAATCT